TCGAGATATCGATTAGCGAGCATGGCCTCGAGATTGAGACAGATATATTCCAGGGCAGCATCCTTGAACTCTGTGACATAGCAAGGGGCAATTGAATTGAGCAAATAGCACACGTTGCGCGTTGTGACAAACCGACCAAGCATCTTCTGGCACACTTGAGACAGTCGGTCGATCATCAGCTCATTTGCAACGAACATTACATCCAGAAGCAAGTCAATGAAGTCATCAAGATCTTTGGTGCGGACTTCGTCAAACAGCCGTTCTTCTGTATCAGCATATAGGTAACGCAAGACAAATTCAAATGTCGAGCGATCAATGTGCTTTAGGTCGACATGCACACCCTGGTTTGGGTCCGCTTTGCGCGAGTCTAGCCACCTTCCACCAGCATAGCCATGGAAAAGAGTGTCAAAGAACGGGCATCTCTGGCACACGACTTGGCTGTGCACTTTGACTGTATCGCCTTTGAGCTGCACTACCACGTCTGCGCTGTCAAACAAGGATGATTGGTTGATGGCATGCCCCATATCTATTTTCAGGCTTCTTTGGGGCTCGACCATTAGTCGTGCTGCCCGCTCTAGTGCTGGTAGGCCTAATTGCATAGACACCCGCATAACTTCAGTGCGGACCTGTCGGGAACGGGCCGAGTTTGCGGGTGAGCTCCTTGCTAGGCGCCAAACATCGAGAATACCGTCTGTGTAAAGGAAAAAGACCACATTCATAACCGTCAAGAAATCAACACCTTGTAGGCGGATCTGGGGATGTCCGTCCTTCCCATATTCAATATCGAAAACGTCTGGGACGGATGCATAATATGACCGCCGGAACTCGGCCAATGCCTTTCCCAAAATAGGACTACGACCAGCCATAAGAAACTCATGAACAGGAATGCAAGAATCGGATAGGGAGCTGGTCACCCAAACAGTCCCCTCGGTCCTCACAGAAAAGAATTCGCTTTCAATATCCGGGGATGAAAGTATGGCTCTTTGGATACTTTTTCCGGGTGAAAGTACAAGAGGAATATTCCGAGCGTCATCTTCGAGGATCGAGTCCAACTCTTCCAGACCTGGGATTGAAAATGGGGATAATGGCAACATATCATCCCAAAGGTTGCTTTGCTCAACATGAATTTGTTCTCTTGTCACTTCACAGTCACGTTGGGCGACAGCGTAGGCCCCGAAGGCATTGCTGCGCACTGCCACTGCCCGTGAAAGACCAGGTATGCGAGCAAATTTGTACTCTTTCGAGGCTCCCGCTTTGTTCTTTGTCCGCCGTTCTTTTCTCCATGCTGACCCGGATGTTGTACAGATGATAATCGAACCATCTTGTCCAACATCAACATCGCTTGCTGCCATATATGATTTCTTAACGGACCATGCTCGCACGGGGGCGGCTAACGAATTCCGAATCTTTGCAGGATTGGTCGTGGATGTTAAAGCCGAAGAATTGTCGGATTGGTTGGCTTGAACAGTGAACACATCACCAGAACTAGATAATGCACATATGGTGTTGCCTCCACATACAATCTTGACAACACGATTCACAGTCTTGTCGTATCTGGTTACCATGAAGCTATCCCTGATAAATCTGGAGCTCACCTCCAGTGGGAATGAAAGTTTTGAATAGCCATATGACGAGAAAACCCAGACTTCGTGATTCTGCAAAAGCACAGACGTAGCACGGTCAATGGCTGACACCATCTTGATTGGGCAATTGAAAAGGGATGCTCCAACGCGCCGCGGTGTTGTTTGTACCTCGAGCGAACGCGCATCGGAATCGACTAGGCCAAGCTGACCTTCGTTCTTGCCAAACGTATAGAGACCTGAGGTACTGAAGACCACCGAGTGGATAGACGACGCCGCTGCGCCTATGATCGTCTCTTTCTTGAACGGGTTGAAGATCTGGCGAGGAGTCGTCTGGATGGGAATGTCATTTTTGTTGCTAGTCCTGGGCAGGCCATAGCCAAGTTGTCCGAACTTGTTGCTTCCCCAGCTGAAAATCTCGCCTTGCTCGGTAATGGCTAGACTATGGTCTTGACCCAGAGCAGCCAATACGACTTTCTTTCCCTCCAGTCCACCTGTTTCGATACAAACGAAAGTGAAACGTGTCGACTCATCTCCTGTTCCTAGGCGCCCTCCAGGTCCAAACCCACACATGAACAGATTAGCCTCGGGGTCATCTGTGATTATGGCGGTGTGCAGTTTGGACATGATGATGTCTTGGTATTTCATTGGCATGTTTGCGATCAGCGTGGGAAGCTCGGTCGATTTACTCTTGGGCACGCTATCCTCAAGCCCTAGGTGCTCTAACTTCTCTTGGTATTCACGATAAAATCGATGCAAAAGATGTTCGGGGCGCTTCAATGAGATGCGCTCAGGAAATTGTCTGTCATCCTGATCCCCTAGGCCAAGGTTCAAGTTTTTGTTGCTTCCTAGTGTGAAAACTTCATCGGCGGAAATATCCACGGCTCCTTTCAGGGCACCTCTAAGAGCATATGCCCTATCCTCCTCGTCATCCCCAAAGCTTTCGCCGGCATTGGAAGCAGCATCACTGCCCAGAGCATCATCATGAAGATCCAAGTTCGGCCAGTTTTCGGAGAGATGCTTAATGTCGCGGGCTCTAATAGTCGCCCCGAAGACGTCAAAGGGGCTGTAACCTTCGCGGTCCTTGATCTTGATCAGGCCACCACTCGGGTGGCTAGTATTTCCACCTTTACTGAAATCCGTCATGTCCTGCAGGTCACGCGCCATGAGCGCCAGAGCAATTGTGGCGTTCCCGGCGTAAAGAGCCCGATGCAGAGCCGTCCATCCACTCTCCCAGTCCTGCGCATAAATATCGACAAATGGAAGGTCCAACAAAGCGCGGGCGAATTTGAAGGCGGTAGGTTTCGTGGACGAAGCGACATGGTGCAGCAGTGTACGGCCGTAATGATCGCGGGCATTAACATCGGCGCGCGACAAAGTCGCGCTCCCGCGCGGGAAGGCCGTCCGGTCAGGCACAGAGGTCCCCGGTGATGATTCGATATTTTTCTTACCCCTCGGTGTATTCGGAGACGAAGCGATCATGGACCCGGGGCTTCCAGCCTTCGATGACAGATTTGTCGCAGCCCTGGTGGTCCCTCCGGAGCCCCCTGCAGCTCGTGGTCCCGCGAACGTCGCGTTCGCCAGAGACCGCTGGAACCGCTCGACATCATCTTGAATAAAACACTCCCAAAGCTTGTTACTCATGTGCCCGGAGTGACTGACGCGCCGAATCTCTTATCAGGCCCAAGCTGAACGTCGCCGTCACCACAGTGGGGTGGACCGCGACGGGGGTGCTGGGTGATAAGAGAACTCTGGTTCGAGGGGAAAGGATAAGAATTGCCGACGCTATAAGTATAGGTCGATGCGATCTCGGTATCACAAATTTTTCTCGTGGATTTGACGCGAAATCGATTGTGGGCTCGGGAATATGCGTGTGTGGCGAAGTGCTTATTTGGCAAGCAACTCGGAAGTTTCGAAGAGGACAGATGTTCTATAAGGTTAGACAATTCTCTAATGTCTCAAGATACCGAGATGGTTGGAAAGAACAACCTTGGAAGATGTTGTCGCACTTGCCAGAACTCCAGTCCGGTTCGCCCTCGATGTCATCCGTGGATCGTGGACCCGCCACACAGTCAACGATAACGATCGTCGGGTCAAAAGCTACCTCTTAACACCATGTACTCCGTAAGCAGTAACTAACAAGTACATCCATATCGGAATCTCCGGGTCATTTCGGACTTGTGAAACTATTATGAAAAGGCATGTCTCTGAAATGAAGTATTTTAAGATTTATATGTCCACAAATCACAACCAAGTATAGGTAGGATATACCAAAACAGTCACTTGATCAAGTCGAGAGAATAACTTCAATGCTATGGAAATCTAAGCATATTGACTAGATAATCCGTCTACGGCTTCCAATTTACGTAGGGCGTAGAATGTATCTTTCTAGCGTACTCTTTGGTTAATGGGGGAAAGACGTCACCAAAGCCATTTAACTATACTATAGGAGTCCGTGTTACCTACCTACATGGACGTTATCGCTTTCTGTAGGGATAATTCTGACCAATAACGACCCGCAGGTCCCTCCATGCCCCCGGACGAGAGGCGAGGATCATCCAGGGCAGAGCTCGTGGGGAACTGATAGGATGACGTCCCGTTACGTATGTTCTCCGAGGTACGCTATGATCTTGAATTCTTCCTTCTTCAACTACTCTCTCTATAATTCAGATATAATTCAGATTCAATTCAGATTCAATTCAGATTCAATTCAGATTCAATTCAGATTCAATTCAGATTCAATTCAGATTCAATTCAGATTCAATTCAGATTCAATTCAGATTCAATTCAGATTCAAGTCACTATAGAAGTCCCTATGCCCACAGACTCATGCTTTATCAGATGTCGGATATAGTCCTTGTAACTGACAGACCTCTGACGTGGGATCGTGGACTCGGCTCCCCCGTAAGGAAATAGGATAGTGAATGCAAGTGAGAGGAGGGGTTCGGTCCGGTTGAAATCGTTGATCGGTGTTGATCTGAACGGAGGTAGTGCCAGGGCATTAGGAGGCGGTAGCATATTCCGAACCGCATCCAGTTCAGTACGGTCTGGAATGAAGTTTGGAACAGCTGTTGAGACCAGAGCGTCAATTTCTTCAGTATCGTCGGTCTCAGTGGAAGAATTAGGGTCAGGGTCGGTAGACTGAGTCAATATATCATCGATAACCGAGCTATCATCTGGTAGATTCTGTATCCGGTCGGAGGAGATTGTGATACCACTGTATCCGGGATGGTTTTCCCGTAGGAAGTGGAGCCAAGTCTCAATTGCATGCCGACGGACTCGAAAATCCCGGATGAACTGTCGATTCAGTCTATCATCGGAGTCGGTATTGGATGGTCGTAGTAGGATGATGTCTACCTCACCTGGAAGCAGGGGTAGTTCTTCGTACACCCGCCCAATGTCTCTTAAAAAGTGGACGACATGGCCCTGGTATCGGTGCTGCTATCCACGTATCTGGCGGACCTCGGTGAATATATGGACGGGCAAGATTAGAATCTCCTCAATCTGCGTGAGTTCAATCTACCGTAGAGCTATACTGATTGGTCTTTATCTACCTTTCGGCAACGCTAACAGACTCCATTCTGAAGCTTCACATCGAACCACCGCTCTCGGCAATATAAGTATGGCTCCATGTTATTCTTGTAGCCGGGAATGGAAGGATTAAATCAACTCTCACTCGCGACTAGTAACAGCTGGATTCTCTGGTGCAGATGAGCTACTCGATCCCCCAAAGCTGCTGGCAGACGGCGTCGAACGGGTTCAGAAAAGGCTAACGGATCAGGAGACGAGTATTGAGGATATACAGAGGGAGCTAGAGGCTCTATAGTCGGATTTCGAGGTATATAATTACCGGTCATATTGGTGGGTTTGGATTTAGCGTGTGATTTGATTGAAGAGCCTCGACAGTACTAGCACTGCTTTGTTTCTGGCTTTCCTGTCTTTGATCGAAACTAGTCTAGAGGCAGGGAGGGGTGACACTGAGTGCAAGTTTTTCAAGGCATTATGAATGAATAACGACAGATATGATTGATATTATTGAGCAATCTGTTGGGCTGGATTACTACCAAGTGGGGAGAAAGCAAGGGAAGAATCAATAATTGATTAAACTAGAAATGCAGGGGGTTATATACCCTGCTAAACCATCTAAACATTGCTCAATTATAGCAAATAACAAATAGCAAACAAAGAGCTCAGTCTGTAGCAAACATGCATGTATGCATGCATGGGAGATTGTTCAACAGATATGTATGAACGGTAAGATGTATAGATGCTAGGAATGGATCTGATTGGGTAGAGAAATTCTGCCGGGGTACATTGAAATTTGGGACCCTCACCGCCCCACTATTTTTTTAGCAGCTAGAACTGGGTCACGTGACATGCGACCCCCTTATTCCGCCAGGTCCGCAAGTTCAACAAACTAGGGCGAGAAAAGCCCAAGCGGCTTGCGTGGTCCTGTGAGCAGACAGTAGCCGGTAGCTTGCATGCAGATGTTGTTAACGAAGCGCTTGGATGCCACTGCGTAGTAAGCTGCCAGGATATCATGGATGTAGCGAACAGTCCGTTGAGTGTTGCTCATTGGTGATTTACCTTACCCTTCACAGCCTCATACTGCCCGCGGTGGCTGGTAAAACGATATCAGTATATTTCATAGATAAAATGGATTGGTCGAACACACCGTTTGCTTTGGGTTCTCTCGAGAATTTTATGAACTTTATGGTACACCGTACTACGTAGAGACATCTCGAATCCGCGGGAAGCACGGTATTGGCCCTCAATCCATGCGAGGATACTATTAATAAATCCGCGGAGGATAGCAGACCCATTAGGTAAATCGAATAATTTGAAGAATAATGTTATAAAGTCAATACTTAGATGATAGACTGCCGGTTATTGATACAGCTTTTGTGAAAGTATGATCGTCTTCCTTCTTTCAAGATACAAACCTTCAGACACCTTTCACAATAACAACTTGATTTACCGAGATGAGACCAAGATTAACAGTATCGGTTTCCAGCCCTATGACCGGACTTCCCATCGTACAGTCGCCGGTTGCAAAGGGCGTGAAAAGAGAGACTAGAAAGGAAGTCAGCCATATATCCACATCAACCCTTTTGAAAATACTCACCGAGTAATCCGTGCCCGGCACCTCTTCCCTTCCCTCAGGATTGAAAAACCTGAATTCCCTCACAAGCGTGGCAACAATAACCTCCAAATTAAGATACGCAAACTTCTCCCCAATACAACGATGTCTACCAGCCCCGAACGGCAAATATGGACTGCGTGTTCCCTTGGAGACAGCCCCATACCCATAATCCACCGTATCAGAAGAATCCTCAACCTCAACCCGACTCTCCCAGCGATGCGGATCCCACCGCAACGGATCACGGAAATACCGCTCATCCCGCGCTGTAACACCAGGAGAAGAGAGCAGGGTATGAGACGGCGGAACAACAAACTCGGTCCCAGGCACCGGCATGGGATTCTTCACTTTCCGCATAAGCGTATGAATAGACGTGTGGATACGCAGCGTCTCTTTAATCACATTGTGGTGTAATGGAAGCTTATCCATATCCTTGTACTGCAGCGGCGGCAGATCAGCGCCCAAGTTATTGATTTGTTCAGCATATAACTTCTCCGTCATCTCGGGCTGAGACGCGAGTCGGAGAAGTATCCAGCAACTAATCGCGGACGACGAGTGCTGCCCCGCCATCAGCAAGGTGATCATCATGTGTGCAATCTCCTTGTCTGGGATTGGAGTCCCGTCGCGGTACACACAGCGCATCAGGTTCGAGATCATGTCTGTTCCCTTGGCTTTGTCTCTGGCGTTGACGTTGTCTTCTTCTCCGGCTTCCCGTCGCGCTTGGATAATGTCCAGGTAGATCTCGCGCATACGTCCGTGTGCTTTATCGCGCTTGCGGTTGTTAGGAAGTGGTGCCCAGGGGAGCATAAAGTTGATTGGGGTGAAGCCTAGGTCGAGGTCGTGGAAGAGCCCGGCGAACTCGGAGGTCATCTTGGAGCGTACTTCTTCGCCTTGGAGGGTACGGGCTGCTGTGAAGACCGTTATCTCGGCCATGGCGGCGGCGAGATCGATGGTACCGGATTGGCCTTTGAAATTTGGGGATGATTTTATGTAGGCGCTTGTTTCGTCGGCGATTAGGGGGACGTAAGATTCTAGGGCTTCTTGGCTTAGGCCATATTTGATGAACTGGTTTCAAGGGGTTCCGTATTAGCTCTGGGTATTAGAGGTGTGATGAGTGATCGGAAGGATGTATACCTTCTTTTGCTCCATGAGTTTGGAGTTGGGACAGTCGTAGACAACATCAGATCCGAAGACGGGTGTTGTAAGCTTGCCGTAGACTTCTTCGGCATTGACGTCTTTCAACTTTCCATTGAGGATGAACTCATTGCCTTCAACGCCGAGGTATACAGTGGTTTTCTTGCCTAGCAGAATGAAGGTGAAGATGTCGCCGTACTTGCTGTTCGTTAGTAGGTGTCGTCTTTCACTTTGGAAGTATCAAGGGCTGCATTATATACACACTTTGGCACGAGAAGCGAAGAAGAACTGGTACGGATCCATGCCATAGGCAACTGTACTTCCAATAAAAGGAACCCAGTGAAAGACAACAGGGGGTTCTTTTCTGTTGTAAAAGACAAGTTGGTTGATCACATTCAGGACGATTGACACCAAAACAAGTCCGGAGGTATAGTATGCAATGCACAGGATCTGACCTGTTACCAAAAGAACGATATCCATGATAGTTGTTTTGTAGATTGAATAAACAAAAGTGAAGAAGTTTGGAGTCTGAAGTATGGGGTCTGAAGTATGTATTTATGTACTTGACTTCCTCTGCCACTACCTAGGTACTTAGCGATCTCTTTCCGTATTAGGACTGAGACCTTGCCGCTTTTTGCTCACTGAGTAGATCTGAGCACACCCCTGCCGGCTGCTCGGGCGGGAGCATCCAGGGATGCTCTGATCGTCACCTGAGCGCTCTGATCCGCTTGAGTGAGCAGGCTGAGTAAGCTACGTCAATAAAATGTAACACGCTAGCGTCCTATTAAAAAAAGGTTGGAATTTTAATGTGATACTTAAAAAACTAAATTTTGCTGACAGCCAAGTGCCATAGTCGCCGCCCAGCAGTGGTAGTCGAAGTCACAAGGAATCTTTACATATGCTACCCTCTCTTTGGCACCCCGTATCACAGATCTAATAAAGGGAGTATTGCTGGTAGACACGAAAAGGTCGAACTTGAAAAGTACCAGCGCTAGTCAACGCCTAATCTCATGCAGCAGCTCGTGTTGTCGCTCGTGATTGGAGTGAAAGTTCGGAAAGGTCAAGATCCATTATCTCAGGCGGGGAGCTTGCCATGAATCGTAAAAAGAGATCGAAAGACTCGTTGTCCTTTTCGAGAAAACTGAAGATTGGTGAGATGCGTAGTTCGAGTTGTTGAGAATGCGAATCGTAACAGGCCTGGAGGATCCTCCCATGTCGAGGCCCGAAGAACGAGAGCATTAGGACCTATCCTAATTAGTAATTATTAAGACGCAATATAAGTACGGCATAACGTACTGGGAAGATATGGTGGTGTTTGAACTCGGGCTGTATTCGGCGAAACATGATCACCTGAACTATTGCCCCAAACTCACTAAGGAGTAATCGGTCCTCCTTGCCAATTCCATCAGTGAAAATGAGTATTTTAGCCGAGGGTCCAGCTAATATATCATTCTCCGATGAGTCCTTCGTCCACCATTCTTGTAGCCACTGGAAGTCCCAACCAGGGAAGTTCTTCCCTTTATATCTACCAGGCGTTGATGATAGTAATCCTCCGTGTCCGCCTGTAAATTCTTCATAGCTAAGTAAAACATTAGTTGCCTGCTATAAGCATAAGAAGCGACACTCACTCAATATCAGACCACCCAAGCTGCTGCGCCAACGGTATCTTACTTCTTCCTTCGCGTAGAAAAGTGATATTTGTCGTAAGATATGCAATAACATCCGCTGTAGCGTCCGCTATCTCAGATTCGCTTGGGTTGGAAGCAAGGCGCGAGTTTCGAGCCATATCTTGGATATCTAGGGGGTCGTGCACAGATTCGTACGCGGCCTCGCTATCCGGGATCTTCCATCTTTTGATGAGCTTCTGGTGAAAAGGCTTGAAAAGACACTTCTTTCTATCATCGAGAAAATTGGAGTCTGTAGCCTCAAACCTGTCGACTGTGACCCCAAGGCATTCAAGATCGACTTTCTTGAATGTTGACTGTTCGGATAATCCGAGTTCTGTAAGTATGTGGATTACCAAATCTACATGGTGGCTTTCCTCGGGATGGGATGGCATGATGTGTAGATTTCGGGGTTGTTTGGTGGCGTGGGCGATTTCCGGTGACGTGGATGAAGAGTTAGATGGTTCCTGGCGCTTTGTGAATGCGATGATGCTCAATAGGGAGGTGGACTTCGAAATATGGAATATTGGAATGTTGGAAAAAGGAAATGTGACAGGTGCGAGAAATGAAGGAAGGGTGATGGAGTGATGAGAAAAAAATGAAAGAAAATCATCATCATCATCAGTGTTTGTGTTGTGTATGCCTTTGTGCCTTAGGCGTGACTCCTCAGAAGCTATATAGTGTCTTCCCAATACAACTCCCACCCTATGCTTCAATGATCTACCCCGTATATCCTATCTGTTTGTCTAATCGATTTCTCCAAGTCGCGGTCATCCCCTATACTTTCACTAAGAATTCTTTTAAAGACTCGACAGAAATCAGGCGTATGGCGAACGTACTAGTAAAAACACGAGGATAAAATTCTCTAACTAAAAAGAATATCTACCGAAGCTGGGCTAAGTCAAGAACATAATTTCATTATTGCTGGAGCTCTTAATCTCTAATCAATCGAGGTTTAGGTCTATGTCCATTGTAGCACGATAACTGCTACTTGTAAGCTGTAAGCCGATGTGCTCACTTTCTCGGAGTCGATTTCAGGATGAAGCTCACCTACATATTTCTAGCTGCTGCTGCTGCTAGCTTAATCGATGATAGAGCCCTGCTCAAACTTGCTGCTTCCCAGTGTGATAATACCTTCAACATCGTCCAGGGCTTTACGTGTATCGGTCCTCATTGACTGGTGGATATCCTCAACCATACCCCAAGGGCAGGTTGAATAGAGCGACGAGCTGCGTATGCCAGAACTGTGGGTGACAGGTGACCAACCCTTTGGAAATGCTGTTGTAGGTTTTGCTCTCGTTTGAGATATTATTTTGTACTTCTAGTCTATAGCTCCGTCTTCCATCCCTCAAAACTAACGCAATGCAACCTCTATCAGTTCATGCCCAGGTGTACAATAGATATAAATTAACGGACCTAGTACATAGTCTGGTTTGCTGGGTATCGTATCCAATTTGTCCACTTGACCAAGGGACCTTTTGCAGAACAAATATAGCAAAGTCGAGCATTTTATTCTTCAGAAACCTTTAGTACTACGGTTTGAGCCCTTCAGCTAAGGTGCAGCTAAAAGGTGTTTTCAACCCGTAGCGAATACCACGTACCAGCTTGTGGTCCAAATGTCACGCTTCCAGCAATTATTGCAATCCAGTTGTCGTGCAGGCTCCTGTCCTAGGCTTCTACGACCTCTTCTCTACTGCTGATCTCGTTCTCACTTCACACTCACTTTCACTTCACACTCACTTTCACTTCACACTCACTTACTTCAAAACTCTTATCTCCTGATTGTCAGTTATTGCTCGTTCTCTTCTTCTACTGCTTTACTCGATTGATCTCGCGCGCGCCAAACCCATACCAAGTTTCAGTTGCCTTTTCTCCAGGCTCCTCCTTCCAAATCCCTGCATCCATCAACAATGCCTCCAGAGAAGTTTTTTCATCGTGTTCCCAAAACACAGGAGCACTGGAACCTCGCAGTCAAGCAATCAACACTAAACAATGACCCACACGCCCAGCAACAATGGAACTCAGCGTCAAAGCTCAGCAAAGAAGAATATCTACTTCTGCGTTGTTTATGGACACAGCACAAGAAGAAAGACGCTGGCAAGATGGTCAAAAAGTTTAAATTGGACCAATACTACGACGATGCTGAGACTTGGCTTCAGCAATTCCCCCCGTTCAAAGCTTACTTGCAACAACTGAAAACTCCATCGGCAACTAGGAAGTTCGATCCGTCTACTAATCACCCAGGTCCTTGGGGGCCGGGATCTTTGAGATACCGGTGGTTGAGCAGGTCCGGATTTCCTCGGCGCTACTTGAGGAAGAGGTCATGAACAAGTCAAAACGGCTGATTGATGAGGACTCTGTCAATATGAGCCTCGTTGCCTTCCTCATTGCGCTCGCCTCCAAACATCCCCTCTTACACAGCCGCTGGACACCCCATCGGAAGCCAATCAAGGCTCAGTTCGGCAATGGTACAGAAATGGAGGCACAGATCGACGGCTACTTTGGGGGGAAGAAGAGCCAATAAAGATAATCCTTGAGACCAAAGCAGGATCAAGGGAACGGCATGAACCCCAAGTCTCGATACAAGAGGCGGCTGAAGTAGTTTCCTTGCTTATGACACAAAGGGGCGATCCCAAGCGGTAAGACTTGCCTTTCTATGATTCAGCCTCATATATATTATACAGTGCTAATACTAGGCCTTGTGTAGGCCTCTCTTCCTGATCTCCCAGGATGGCGCCGAGCTTTATGTCACCGCCGCCATCTTTGACAAGACTTACCTCGACTGGATTACGAACGGCAGGAAGAAGCTTCCAAATCACAAATTCCTCCAAATGATGCAGTACGGGCCGTGGAAGTTGAGCAGAGCGGAGGATATGAAGGAATTTGCGGTCAATGCCCTAGCCATTATGCTAGCAGTCGACACTTAGCTGCTGACACTTAGCTGCTGTCCGGACGGATGAGTGCGACCCCTTTCATAGATTGTGCGCACGGATAGGGCTATTGGGGAGATGCGGGGAGGCCCCACCGAGTCGGGGAGTCTCCGCCGTCAACGCGTCGTTGGATATCTCAGCATGCCGGAACTCGGGGAAATAGTGTCCAAATGTCCATCGAAACATGAGTTCGACGCAAAAAATATCGAAGCGGTGGACTCCGCAGGTACTTATATGTAATCGCTGCATGGTCTGCTTCTGTTCGCTCCACGTTGAGACCACAGGCATAGACTTCTTTCTTTATTGCCGTTGTTCCTTTTTTCCAAGTTCTCATTATGCCACAGACATTCGATGTAGAACATGTTCTAGCGAACATCAGCGAGCAGGACAAGATCGCTCTTTTATCAGGTAATACAGAGGCGGTGATCTTTGGGAACACCATCCGCTAACACGAGCAGGAACGGATTTCTGGCACACACATCCTATCCCACAATTCAACGTCCCCTCTATTCGCGCCACCGATGGTCCCAATGGTATTCGAGGCACCAAATTCTTTGCTGGCATCCCCGCCGCATGTTTGCCCTGCGGCACAGCTCTGGGCGCTACCTGGGACCGGGATCTGATATACCAAGCGGGGGAGCTTTTAGGTGACGAATGTATTGCGAAAGGGGCGCATTGTTGGCTGGGTCCCACGATCAACATGCAGCGCGCTCCCCTCGGTGGCCGTGGGTTCGAGTCGTTTGCGGAAGACCCGCATCTCTCGGGCATTCTAGCCAAATCCATCATCCTCGGATGCGAAAGCAAAGGAGTCATTTCCACGGTGAAGCACTTCGTCGGCAACGATCAGGAACATGAACGCCGGGCGGTAGATGTCTTGGTCACCCAGCGAGCCTTGCGCGAGATCTACCTACGACCCTTCCAGATTGTGGCGAGAGATGCGAAGCCCGGCGCGATCATGACATCGTATAACAAGATCAATGGGAAGCACGTGGTGGAAGATGAGCGCATGCTCAATCTGATCCGCGAGGAGTGGAAGTGGAATCCTCTGGTTATGAGCGACTGGTATGGGACCTACACAACCATCGACTCAATGAATGCAGGCCTTGATCTTGAAATGCCGGGGGTGTCCAGATACCGGGGAAAGTTTATCGAATCGGCCGTGCAGGCTCGGCTCATCAAGCAATCGACCATCGATGCCCGAGCACGAAAGGTGTTGGAATTCGTGAATCAAGCGAGTCAGGTCCACGTGTCAGAAGTGGAACGAGGACGGGATTTCCCAGAGGATAGAGCTTTGAATCGCAAACTCTGTGCGAACAGCATCGTCCTCCTCAAGAATGAAGGTATCCTGCCCCTTCCAAGGGATATCAAAAGGATCGCCCTCATCGGATCTCACATGAAGACTCCCGCAATATCAGGTGGTGGCAGTGCATCACTTGAGCCATATTACTCTGTCTCGCTATACGACGCCTGCAGGGAAACACTTCCTAACGCAGAGGTGCTCTATAAAGTGGGCGCATACGCCCATAAGATGCTCCCCGTGATAGACCGTCTCCTGAGTAATGCTATCATCCAGTTCTACAATGAGCCGATGGGAAAGAAACGACATTTAATCAGCACTGAACCTGTATCAATGACAGCCTTCCAGTTCATGGACTACGATGCTCCCGGTCTCAACAGAGCGCTTTTCTGGGCCACACTGATTGGCGATTTTACGCCCGACGTCTCCGGGCTTTGGGACTTTGGCTTGAGTGTCTTTGGTACCGCAAATCTCTACATTGACGACGAGCTCGTGATCAATAACACCACGAGTCAAATGCGGGGAACGGCATTCTTCGGAAAAGGCACCGTTGAGGAGCTTGGATCGAAGGGATTAGTTGCTGGGACTACATACAAAATACGCATTGAGTTCGGCTCTGCCAACACTACCACAATGAAAACGGTGGGGATGGTGAATTTCGGTGGCGGCGCTGCAAATTTGGGAGCCTGTCTAAGAATGGACCAGGATGAAATGATTGAGAGTGCCGTGCAAGCTGCCGCAGAGGCTGACTACACCATTCTTTGCACTGGGCTCAACAAGGACTGGGAATCCGAAGGGTTTGATCGCACGCATATGGATCTGCCACCGGGAGTCGACCAGCTGATCTCGAAGGTGTTAACAGCCGCCGCAGATAAGACTATCATTGTCAATCAGTCCGGTACTCCAGTTACCATGCCATGGGCCGATAAGGCCCGGTGCATTGTGCAGGCCTGGTACGGAGGTAACGAGACGGGTCATGGAATTGCCGATGTCCTCTTCGGAGATGTCAATCCATGCGGAAAGCTGCCCTTATCCTGGCCAGTGGATGTGAAACACAACCCAGCCTACCTGAACTACGCTAGTGTTGGTGGCCGAGTGCTGTATGGCGAGGACATTTATGGAGGTTATCGATTTTACGAGAAGACCGGACGAGAAGTGCTCTTTCCATTTGGGTGAGTTGGTTCCTTCATCTCCAGGTCCGATCTAACCATAACTCATCTAACCGTATTGTAGTCACGGTCTGTCATACGCGACCTTCAAAGTCTCGCCAATTGTTACCGTCGCCCCGGAGATATTCAATATGAATCTTCCTACGGTCGCCACCGTGCAAATCAAAAACACTGGCAAACTGGCAGGCGCTCAGATACTCCAATTGTACATATCTGCTCCCGAATCCCCAACCCCGCGCCCAAGAAAGGAACTGCACGGTTTCGAAAAAGTATTCCTGCAGGCTGGTGAAGAAAAAATGGTTAATATTCAGCTGGACCGTTATGCGACCAGCTTCTGGGACGAGATCGAGGACATGTGGAAGAGCGAGCAGGGGACGTATGAAGTGTTGATTGGAACCTCCAGCCAAGAAGTGGTGGCACGGGGTAAATTCCAAGTGGATAGCACCTCGTATTGGCGGGGACTGTAAGGATGAATTCCTCCGGCTTTATTTGGGGAGTTTGGGTGAATTCCCCGGCTAAATGAGGTTGTCTTGGCTTGATTGGAGGGATAATTTAGCCATCATTCGCCTAAACATCACCAATCACCGACATCGTTTCTTCTTAGCCTTTTAACTTATGTTTTATGTTTCTTTGAGTACCCCATGTCCGACTGCAGGAAGCCCCACCAGGAGGAATGGACCCTTCGCCGACCACACGACGTCGCAGGAATACTCGGGTGCTCACAGCATGCGATGCCTGTCGTCTCAGCAAGACTCGATGCGATTCAGCACGACCAGTGTGTGCCAAATGTGTCCAGCGCGGTGTAACCTGCGAGTACCCGGAGACGGATGCAATCTCAGTGTCGGTTCCCATAGAGATTTTTCCACTAGCCGAGGCATCTAATGACGATCAATTTTATCTAAAGCCTAGATACATGGGGGGCAAGAATCTTAGAGGCAGTAGAACGTCAAGAGCGGCTTCTGTCAGAGAGCCTGTCTTTGAATCGAGGGCCTCCTCTTTTTTCCCAACAGGCGTCGCCATCCCCAGTGGACGAAGTAGATCCCGAGTCAATCTCACGCAATGATGCGCTCAAGACGCCTATTACCGGGTCAGACATGATTCTCAGCTGGCCTATATTCCCGAAAGAGAAGCCTGTATCGACTTTTCCAATGGCAGCGTATTCCGAGAAGCCAGATCGCTTCCAGACGGGTATGGCCTTCTGAGCGCATCATGTACCAGACTCGGATACTAATGGGCGGTTACAGCTCTACCAAGCTTAGATCCGCAAAGGCTCCTCGAACTGCGCGAGATATTCATGACCAAGATCTGGACCAAGAACCCGATCGTTGACCCTGACCAGTTGGACTTTTATATCGCTCGAGTGCTGGAAAATGGCATTGACTGGTCTGCCTCGTCATGCCTGGTCCTACTTATCCTTGCACTTGCAGCCATCTGGGGCCATTATCCCGACGATGAAACGCGCGAGGTCTCTTACGTAGAACCAACGTTCAGTCCACCGGTAACTTACATGACGATATCGGTTCCGGAGCATCGAATGAAGGAATCACTGACCTTCCTCTCCATGGCGCGTAAGCGCATCTCCACTGCGTACCTCGACGATACCTTACTGGGAGTGCAGTGTCTCTGTTTATTCGGGTGAGCTCCTTCCTCTCAGCTTCTTCCAGATACGGGTGTTTAACTCCCGCATGGAATTTGGTACCAGTATAACATTGAACCGATTCCGGGCTGGAAAATGTTCCGCGCAGCATCCACACTGTGGCAAACGTATCGCTTGAAGCACCGCGAGGGAAAAACTGCTAGAAGTGCGCAGGAAGAGAGTGTGTGATTTAATCTCTCCATTGCGGATATGCCTAACTCGCGCAGGTTTGGAGCAGCGACTCTACTGGACGTGCTTGAAATCAGAATGGTATAACATACACCGCAGACCTTTAAATCTTCCCACAATTGGCTTACATATAATAGTGAGGTTCGATATGAACTGACAGATCTCCCGCCCTGTGACCTCAGCCTTTCCGACTTTCCCTATTCTCTCCCGAGCTTCCCCACGAGACAACCATCCAACGACACCGCTGGGTGGGTTTTTTCCAGTCCCTCGTCTACAGACCTCGAAGCAGCATCTTCCTACTATTATCTGGCCGAGATTTTCTTGCGCAGGCTTCTCAACCGGGCCCGCAATGCGGTTCGTGTGCTCTCCCCGGATATCGACCCGCCAACCATCAGGACTCTGGCGGAAACCCTGACGCAGCTGGAGGGTCAACTCCAGCAGTGGGTAGACTGTCTGCCACATACACTCCGCTTTAATATGCCTCTTGAGTCTGCCCCAGGACCGAAAGAAGGTGAGCTCATGAAGCTAAGCCGTGAGCGATACGTCGAGGTGCGTGAACTGCTCTGCCGCGCGTATCTATATATGTGCATACATGTACCACTCGACCTAGGGATGGCGGCACTGTGTGGGGTCAAAGCTAGCGAGGCGCTACTTTTGGCAGTTTATCGCATCCAGACCGAAGTGCCATTCTTCCGACATCCGGGGTCATGGGGAGCATGTCGAGTCCGGTTTAATCATGCGCTTTGCCTCGTTGCGGGATTTCGCGCAAAAATTAGACAACGTCCCTCAGCAGAATATGTGACCATTCCGCCCGAATGGGCGGACTGTGTTCGGGTGGTGATCGAGCGGTTGAAGATCTGGGGCGAGGAGGGCGGTGGGATCAAGGAGTTAAGTGTGCTGCTGGAGTGGTTGATGCATGGCAATTTGGAATTGTAGGACAAAACACAGGACGTCCGTTTTTTTTGTAACAGTTTCCAGGATCTCTATACATAATAATATATGGGGAACCAATGGAACGAGTTGATTGGAGAACTATCCTGGAGATCGCTGTTGAGGGCGTCTCTCAGCCTCTTACAATACGGCTAATCCGAGATCGCCCAGTTGTCTGTGCACAAACATATGGACCTCGTAGTAGGTATCACGGAACGAGCAAATTATTAATGGTAAAAGCCGTTTGTCCCAGCCAAATTACTCCATACAGGAGAGCTGCTACAGCCCCGTTCCTCTTCCAGTATCTATCCGCAACGCATCCCCACTACTGAAGCAAGGACGACCGTCGTCTTACTCTTGGCGCGGGCTCACGGGGAGACTCCGCGAAGTCCCTGCATACTTTTTTTAGGTTAAGATGATGTGCCAAGCCTCTTGTAGGATTGGCATCGGGCTATCCCATCCAGAAGCTCGCTTACCCCGCCTTTAGCTACCCCGTGGGGTGATAAAACTATATTTCCACCAGCGGGGATCATACCCGGATTGTCTTCATCGATATGATAGAATCAAGCCATCCATCCCATCTGGGCATAATTTGTTGGGTCAGGCGGATCATGGCTGTTTGGAACTGGGTCAAGGTGGCGGACCGAGCTAGCTAAAGAATGTAGAATGGGCATGATATATAACCATTAGTCCCGGGGAGTCTTCATGGGTCCACAGATCTGCACTACTCTAAGCATCCGAACATCAGCCTTTCAACATGGTCCTAGTGGGAAAACAGCGCGAGGAGAATGTTGCCGAGCCTGTGCTGGCTAACTTGCTTGTCAATGACCATACGCCTTGGTACAGGAAGCCGAACCTGAGACGACTCTATTTCATCTTGTTCCTAGCATGTATGGGTATCGAGATCACGTCGGGATTCGACTCGCAGATTATCAACACGGTCCAGATTGTATATACTTGGAACAAGTGCAAGTCTTGTTGATTCAGGATGGGCTCGGCAAGAGACTAACGGTGCGATATAGATTTTGGCCATGAAACCGATGAGATTGTGGATGGACGCCCCAAATACGTGATTGAAGAGAACCTCAAGGGTTTCCTGGGTGCTGCATACTCCCTAGGAGCTATTGTCTCCCTGCCCTTTGTGCCGTACGTCAACCAGCGAGTCGGGCGACGATGGACGATCATGTTCGGTTCATGCGTGAGCTTGGTCGGGGCCCTTATCCAGGGCTTCTCCAATGGAGGTATTCCCTCCCTTCCTTATCTTTTCCGTGACATCTCTGATGGTTCCCAGTGGCTATGTACATAGTCGCGCGTATCATTCTAGGATTCGGAATCCCTTTCTGCATCGTCGCAGGGTCATCTTTGCTGGGAGAGCTGGGTTACCCCAAGGAACGACCGATTCTCACCTCACTCTTCAACTCCTCCTACTTCATCGGTCAGATCATCGCGGCAGCCGTAGGCCTGGGTACAGTGACCATTGCGTCCGACTGGGCATGGCGAATTCCATCGTTGCTTCAGATCGCTCCCGCGATGGTCCAGATTGTGACGGTGATGTAGGACGCCCCCCGCCGCTATCCTGACTTACACTAACACATGGCCAGGTTCCTCCCAGAAAGTCCCCGATACTTGATCAGCAAAGACCGCTACGATGAAGCCTTCGACATCCTCACCAAGTACCACGCGGAGGGTGACCGCAGCTCTATCATTGTCAAGGCCGAACTGGCGCAAATCGAGCGTACCATCAAGATGGAGCTCGAAGAGTCAAAACAGACCTGGTGGGACATGTTCCGCACGGCCGGTATGCGTCGTCGACTGTTCATCTCCGCTTTCCTCGGCCTGTTCACGCAGTGGTCGGGCAACACGCTCATCTCGTAAGCATCCCCCTATGGCATCTGTCCTATATATTTCTCTCGCCTTCGCTAATCCATGTAATAGGTACTATCTCAGTGACCTCTTGAACATGGTCGGAATCACCGACGGTGTGATCAAGTCCAAGATCAACATCGGCATCGCCTGCTGGGGTCTCATCTGTGGTACTGCGCTGGCACTGACGGCGCCGCGCTTCAAGCGTCGGCCGATGTACCTGACTTGCGCAAGCTGCCTGCTGTGTGTGTACATCGCATGGACCATATCTATGCAGCGCTTCTTGGCCACAAAGGCTCAATCGGCGGCGGTTGCGACCATCTTCTTCATTTTCGCCTATTCGCCCGCCTACAACCTCGGCTATAACGCTCTAACATACAGTGGGTGTCCCATCCGTTTTCATCGCATGTGTATGTACTAATATAAACAAGCGTATCTCATCGAGCTGTTCCCTTACATGGGCCGCTCACGCGGTCTCTCTTGGTTCCAGTTCTATGGCCGCGGCGCAACCTTCTTCGCTACTTACGTGAACCCCGTTGGTCTGGCGCGCATTGCCTGGAAGTGGCTCCTGGTGTACTGCTGCTGGCTGCTATTTGAGCTGGTGTTTATCTACTTCTTTTTCCCCGAAACTGCAGGCCGCACCCTTGAGGAGCTGTCGTTCAGTAAGTGGTCTCCCTACTCTCCTTTAAGAGGCAGAGCTAACGTAAACAGTGTTCGAGGACAAAGAGAAGGCCAACGAGGTTTCTGCAGCTGTTCATAAACAGCTCGATGAGGACGATGAGAAGAAAACGGCCACGGCGCATGTGGAGGTCGAGGACATCAAGAACGCTGTTTGATGGTGTCATGATGGCTGTTATATAAGGATGGTAGGATGAGCGAGTGGAACAAAGTCATCTGCTAGGTAGTCTATGTTAATTGTACGTCTTTTTCAGTAGACTGCTTAGGTAGTCTTTCCAGATTTCTAGTTTTGTAGGTATCTTCTCCCTTTCCCAGTTACGTAGGTAGTAGGAAAGCTAATGTCCCTTTTCCGAAAAGCCGCTATCACTTCCCTGTTTCCCAAGACTTCAGCACACTCCTTGGAGTACCCCCATTTGCATCTGCAATTCCTGGCTCCGCCCCTTTACTGATCAAACATCGACCCACATCAGCTTTTCCAATCTCAGCTGCTTTGTGTAGGGCTGTGCCTAGGATATTCGAGGGATCTTGGGATAGAACAGGAGAAGAAGTGACTGAGCTGCGGCTAGAAAGATGTGAGTGTGAAGCCCTATTTTCCAAGGCACGAGGCATTATCTATTGACTGCTCTCCTTATACCATTATATATTACCCGGTTGGTGGGCCATACAACTAGAAATAGTATATCTTTATAGTTCGGCTGCCGTATACTAACTATAGTTCAAATATTAGTTAATAAGCATCAAAATTATTCTAATCATTTACAATAGCAGGTAAGCCTCCATTCCTCCTCTGGCTCCACCACAATCATATCTATCGTGCCTCTTTCCTCCCGAGATACTAATTCGTGCCTTTATAGATCCAACCAATTCACCTGAAGTATATCACATCTTGGAGCTTGCCAGACCCTCAACATCAAACTCCGTTGAACATAGCAAGAACGTATCACGAAGTGCCTAAGTAGTCATTAGTCATTACTCCACCCTACTAACTCAATCGAAATGAAAGTGGGCAGGGCATTCAATGAACTTACCGACAACCGATATCTCTCATTGATGGCCTGGTAATCCTCTCCAGCGAGCATATCACAGAAATGTCGAATAGAAGGATAATGCACGATAGAAATCTCATTCCACCAATCCTGCTGCGGCCGACTCTGCGGCCCCCCGCGAATCACTCTTCTCCGACACTGGCGGTACCACATTGCCCACCAACTTGGCACTGCCGCCGCGTTTCCCTGCGACAGGAATAAAGGCTTGGCCGTACTGATAATAGTTCTTCTTGCCATCAGGATGGTGGAAATGTAGTAGGTTTAGCATGGTTACGGGTCCCTTATGGGTCTTGAAAAGTTCATTCATGAATCTCAGTAGCTCGGGCGAGACTTCCAGACTCTGCGAAGTCTCTTTGCTGCCCTCGCGGACAACCTTGTCCAGAGAACCTGTGAGAGGTATGGATGACGCATCGTTCTTAAGTCGGGAGTCTCTAGCCTGATAGTCTGAGAGGAGCTTCGATGGGATTCCAGTGGTTATTCTGTATTCGTTCGTGATTAACCCGCGCAGAGCGCTTGGGATTGGGTCTTGTTCGTTTGGCTGGGCGATTTGGAGGAGCACTAGCAAGTCCCATGGAGTTGAGGTGAGAGGGTTGTTGTCTAATACATTTGGATGGATTACGACATGACGTGGACGCGAGGCGACGATGACTCGAGTGCTTGGCGATTGCCTGAGTTGCTGGAGGAATGATTGTGCATCTGTGGTCTTGACAAGGGTAAGGAGGTGGAGGGTAGCGACAGGCATGGTGCAAAAACGTCGTTGCTATGTAAATTGGGTGGTGAGGGGAAAGATAAAATACCGAATGAGACTCGGTAAAAAGACGGGATTATTCAGAGTAAAGTGCGGGGAAGGCAATTGATCGGCAATGCCGAGGTCCACCGGTCCTTCCATTCATCACGTATCTATGTATTTTGTAGTGACTCAAGAGCACATATATATATATATATATATATATACAAAGTAATGAGGACAAATGTTAACCACGGCTATGCTAAGCTAATTTGACGAATATAGGGGGTATCTTGATAAACATGACATTGAAACCAATCATAGTACAGAAATCTCTCAAGCGGGCTTGACCTGACGGTCGAACGAAACCCAAGAGGGGACTGATCTTGCAGGTGATATTTGAACCCCTTGATCTTGATCGGACTTTCCTACATCGCCGATGGGGTTCGTCCCACTCCATCCTGTGTCGATGTGAAGGTCATCATGTAGTTGTTCGATGTCTTCAATAGCCGATGGATTTGCGCGGATCACAAGAAGCAAACTGTTGAGTACTGTGAACTCTATCATCAACTTTATACTGTAGACGACTGGCTTGAGAGTAGTCTGTACGTCGAAGTGGTTGGTATACTCTGTTGCCAAGAGGGCTGCGTCCAATAGAACTGCGAGAGTGTTGACGACGATAAGGTTGGTAACGACTGTCTGACCCCGATGACCCTTCATCGCTAAAACAGGTTTCAGGCTGGTCATAGTCTCCCAGATGTATAAACCACTAATAATCGTCTCTTGGGCGGCGAAACCAGCCAATTGGGCACGCTCGTATATATCAAATGGACGAACAAAGCTTTCGACATCAAGATTAATCCCAAGGAAAAGAACAGTGGTAGGGATATGCAGGACGCAGAAGTTGAAGATGATCATGCCTAGCACCCAGCGGGAGTAGGAATCGTAGTTTGTGACCAGATGTAGCCGTGAGTATAGTACCACAGACTGTCCAGTAACCATAGAATACCAGCTGATGCAGATCAAAACACACATCGGGAAATTGGGAGCAAGATTGAAGAAACGAAGAAATGTCGAAAGAGCGTGGACAAGAATTCCCAAGGTAGCGATCACCATGCTCCAGAAGTAAAGGCCGTGACGGCGTTTAAAGGTATTGAATATGGAAACGAGAATTTGGAGCACGTTCCAACATGCCAGGGCAAAGAGACCTGCAATTACCATTGCGATCGGCCGAGATACCTCGACAGGTCCCGATTCACCTGCCATTGTGGTGAATGGCGAAGCTCGAGCCAGAGATGAGTGGAGGAGAAAGATGCTCGAATTGATGAGTTACGTTGCGGGCCGAAGCCGTTCATACAACAAGGAAGGTGGACATAGTGGGGAGTGGAAGTTGGAGAGAATCTTGAACTGAAGACAATGGATCTCAGAAGGCAGAGGGAGACTCGGGAAAGGGGTGAGTTTTGAACGGCCCAACGGTCGATCGTTGTGGGGTGGGTTTGAGGCTAAACCCCAATGGGGTAATTATAATAGAATTAGAGTTGAGCTATTGGCTCCACTTGAGCAGCCATCATTGGACCATAACAGTGCTGATATCATGACAAACCTTGTCTCACCTTCACCTTCCGCATTTAGCTTAGTTTCATGTAAACTCGTTTTTAATCCATGAGGTAATCTCAGATCTTCAACAGCAGAATGTCGAAATCAAAACAAATAACAATTCCAAGGTTCTGTGCTAATACATAAATTGGTGATAGGCACCAAGACTCCGCGCACATCCGTGGTGCTTGTCATCGTTGTCACCAGTGGGCCGGTCATGATACATATTGCGAAACGTCGGAAAATCACCGGTGCCTTTCTTTACGCTTGTGCTATAGGCCGCGGGATGTCTCCAGTCCCGGGGACATACAACATAGGTAGCTGAAAAATGGTGTGGTAGATCTCGACTTGGCGACATGACCATCCACGATCGTGTCGAACCCTTGGCCTAGACCTCTGGATAGCCCATCAATGGGCCCAAGCCCCCAACCCATAGACCAACCCACAGTGGGCTATGGGTTGTGGCTTCGAAGCCAGACCAACCCCCATCAATGCCCATTTCTGTGCACAAATATAGTCTTGGCACGTATAAAGTAGCTGATTAATGGCTGTATTTTGCGCATGTACCAACCTGTATATTCAGTATTATTATATTATCATAGTAAGAAGTAGGAATTAAGTAGATATTATACTGATTTTAGCATCATGATGGCAGATTCAATACAAAATTACCCTAAAAATATCCAATCTGACCTATGGACAGTGAATTTGCACCTAGGAGAATTACTGAGTATCCGCATGAAGAGAAATATATATATTAACTATATAAACCCCTCACCTCGAGGAGGACATCAATAGTGCATTTCCTCACCGCCCCGTCGAGGTGGGGCTACACTAAGGGGTTGATGTTGATGTCTGCCTAATTGGTTTGGCGGACTTGAAAGGCAATTTGGATACTAAATGTCAGCCAATTCGACATTCCGGACCTGTCGAGCTTTCAGGTGGGAGCTATCTTCTGTCAGGCAGTTATTCGTATCTGTCTGACTTCCTGCTCCATTGGTTGCTTTTGAGAACCCGACGAACAACCTAATAAGAAGCCCAGGGATTGAACTTCCAGTGGTGGTCTGGGCACGTTCTGAAGACTGTACCCCTCCAGTCAAATAAATGTCTCTTCCCGTTGCCACTTCATGATTCTTCTGCTAATAAAATTGCCAAAAATGTCTATATGCTGGCCCTACCTAGTACAGGTTCATTATTGTCGGCTACATCGACCGCCATGATGTTAAGGATACATTCTCAACGAGGTATCGGCTTACTTTCCCTTGTGTTACATTTGCACTTGCAATGTCTATGGATTTTCTGCTAATAGTGTGAATATAATACATAATGGCTATTAAAGGCCTGTCTATCGATTCTCATCATCATCATAATGATCATTTACTCCCGAACCAAAACACCACGGTATCTCATCTTTCCATCACGCAATGCCTGCATGGCAGTTTCGACACCATCCTTGGTCAAGGGGAAGGTCATGGTAGTCGGGGTAATCTTTTTATCGGCAGCGAACTTGACCAATGTGCGCAGACTGTTGCGCGATGCAACAAGCGAACCCTGGATACGGATACCCTTGAGGTTCATGAAGAGCAGGGGAACGGCTGAAGGAGCAAAGTCAACAGTCAAGGGATAGATTGAGCCATGCACATCCATAAGCGGGATGAGGCTGGGGTAGTCGACGTTGGCGCTGCCGCAGAGCAGGAGGTGGTTCACAGGCTTGAAGTCCTTCAATTCTTCACCCTTGCGGAAGACGTGGTACTCGGACGCGCCGAATCCGAAGGCCTCCTCGCGCTTCGCCTCCGAGCTGGACAAGACAACGACATGACAGCCCATCGCGGAGGCGAGCTTGATAGCCAGGTGGCCCAGACCACCGATACCCATAATAGCCACCCGGTCCGTCGGCTTAACGCCGTACTCTGTCAGACAGGTCCAGACAGTCGCGCCGGCGCACATCAAGGGCGCCGCATCAGCGGAGTCATAACCGTCCGGGATGGGGACGACGCATCCGGCGTCCCAAACGGTGCCGCCACTGAAAGAGCCCAGGTCATGGTCGTGTGAGCCGTATTCCTTCTTATTCTCGCAGTATTGGTCCCAGCCTAATTTTTACTGTTAGCATGATGTTGATCTCCTTTTAAGGTTGGAATTCGTACCCGTCAAGCACTTCTCACAGTTGCCACAAACGTAGTGAGTGTATCCGTATCCGACACGCGCTCCAACCTTTACGTTGGTGACATCCCGGCCGACTTGGCGAACGATACCGACACCCTCGTGGCCGAGAGCCATGCCGGAAGAGAGGTAGTGCTCATCGGTACCGCAGAGACCGGAGTGTGTTGTCTCGATGTAGACCTCGCTGGGCTGTAGAGTGCGGGTGGTCTTATCGGCCACGATCTTGCCCTCCTTGGAGCCGCGGAAAACCTCGAAAGTTACGCTCATTTTGATGATGTGGAAATGTGATTTTGCAGAAGGATGGAGGAATGCGGTATTCGATAATGGCACTAAGAGCACAAGACGGATGGCACTCCTTTTAAACCAAATTCTTCTCCAACTTCATGTCTTGGATTTATCGGCATCTAGCTCCTACCGAGGTAAGTGTGCCGTTTTCCGTCAGTTCTCAACGTGAGAGAGCCAACGAAATCTCTGCTGGGTGTGGATCACAAGATGATCAAACGCATTAGAGTTGTTCTAGAGAATTCTGCAGCACGTTGTGAATAGCTATCAGGCCCAATCACTACCATTGCCGAGCCATCCGTCTTCTGGAATATCTATGGAACTCGTTGCGAATTTTATGTCAAGCTAAACCACAGAAGGCAATCCTCCGAGCAAAGCTCCACAAATCAGAAATTCGGCCTGGCGCAAGGGGTGGAATTCCTCCGATGTCAAAGCTTGTCGGAGACTTTCGACCCTTGGTCGGGTTTAACTCGGGATAGATATAATAATCATTGTGCTCAATAAGTGGGCTGATAACTAATACCTTGGTGGAATGACAGGGAATCTTCTCTAACCTTAAAATTAAGATTGTCCCGAGCCCACGGAAAAGCTCTGCGCTGAACCTAAATTTTTAGTGATGTCATAGGTATACGTTCAGTACTTGTGGCAACATGGTCTTCTATTGACTATTACAGACATGGCTGGTTGGGTGCTTGAATCATTTTTTTCTTTACCTCCTACTATTGAACAAAAATTTGCTTGGGGCTTAGCAAGGTCACTGAGAGCCTCCCAGCGCTATAGCGTTACGAACGTACCATGCTCACGGTCAGACATGTGGATGCTGAGTATTACTCAGGCACGCTAGTAGATTGAGACCCTCTTTGGTCTACAAATCTATCATATGACCCTCCAGTGATCGCCCTTGGCGGATGATTCACACTCCTGCCCCCTGCTGAACGCGGATGTTGTCGTGGGTGAGCGGCTTTTCCCTTGTTAGCAGAGGGCGAAAGGGGTGTGCTTGCCGTATAATTGACCACCGGTTTCTTGCGTCATATCTTGGGTGGTCACAGCGTCCAATTCTCTATTGAAGATGGAGGGCAATCCTCTGTGAGCGAGAGGCAAAAGGATTGTCCACTAGGATCTTCAAGAAAGCAGACTACCAGTACCTGAATTGTCGAATACGCACTCCAATATTTTGAGACAACTTGTCGCTATTTTCATGCTCCAATGCAAGGGAACGAACCCCAGATAAAGACAGTATTACAACTCAGATTCAGTTTGCAGGCAGGCTAGACATGAAGAGATGATCACAGCGGATTAGATTCGACCCCTTGCTGTGGCACATACGCATTTTTGAACAGCAGAAAGTAAATTCATCCGCAAAGCTCCCGCTGACGAGGTCAATAAATGATTTATGTGGCTGACAACATCAAATATGGATTGATAGTATGCAGTTAGAACTTCACAAGAACAACTGACCTGTTGGGTTCTGCACCACCTAGCACCTCCCCCGTATAACCCATACCACCACCACCACCCATACCATCCGCACTCCCAGAGTGCTGCTTGGAGATGACAAAAGTAGAAATAAAAACATACAACAGTGAGGATTCGCTGGTGGTCACCCACCCAACTACTAACTCACCGGCGTGTGGCTTATATGCGGCCGGTAGTTCGGTGGGTGTCGCCCGGGTGAGAAATGGGTGAAGCGCCGCTTTACGGCGCGCGACCAGGGGTGATAAGGGTAAGTGCACTATAAACGGAGTGAGAACCAGGGTGAGAATCACCTAAGTCGCGCAACCACTGCATTAACCCCTTCAGCTAAACTAACGGCAGAATATCATTAGACCGTGTTGTTTCCTTTAAAACGCTCGGTATCTTAGTATCTAGTATATATAACTAGAACTGGAAGTATTATATAACTAGGCAGTAGGTAAGTTAGCTATACTAATCTAATTGGTTAGTCTGCTTAAAAAGCTATCTCGAAATTGAGCTAAGCTTGCCTTTGCCTTCTTGACCGTACGCCTTGACATTAACTAGTTACTCCCTGAAGTTCTTAGACATCCACTCCTATATAAAGCCTAAGGCCACAAACCAGTGTAAACCCTACAAACGGTTCGGGACCACATTTCAAGCTCGGACTTCGGATTCACGTCACCTAGACTGTTTCTATCCTTTCAAGTTCAGGCTCGCCAGCATCCAACGTAGATAGAAAATTCAGAGTCACTATCATCTTCAGCCGACAATTACTGGAATAGTACTCTAATCACTCCAACAACTCGTTGGTATCAATTTCATTATCTATTACGGTATAAGCTACTTTGCCGAGAATGTCGACGGCCTGCCCGACTCTTTCATTTTGTAGGTGATCGTTAATTGCGTCAATGTGGTTATAACACTTCCGGGTCTTTGGGTAATTGACTATTTCGGACGGCGCCTAGTTCTTCTAACAGGGGCACTCGGTATAGGTATATCCTAATATATTGTTTCGGCCTATGGCGCCGCAACTCCGATCACGAATTTCACTTTACAATGCGCCCAGTTCGCTTTTATTTACATATACGTCTCTTTCTTCGGTAAGTGAACGTGATCACGATCTAGAGAACCTTTGCTAACGCCCACAACAGCATCCACATTTGGTCCCTGCGCTTAGGTTGTCACGGGAGAGATTTTCTCGCTTCAGACGCGTGCGAAAGGTCTTTCCATGACCACTACGGCGAACTAGTTCTTCAATTGGCTGCTATCTTTCATTACGCCATACCTCACTGGAGCACTCAACCCAACCCAGTCCAACGTGTTCTAGATCTGGGGTAGTTTCTGCTGGATCGCTTTCGTGTTCGTATACACCATGATCTATGAGACTAAGGGGTTGGCCCTTGAGCAGGTCAATGAGCTCTATGAAAATGTTCCGAAGGCTTGGAAGAGCCCTGCTTACCGTTCTGAACTCCGCACAGCCTCTGTTTCTGAGATCCACCACACTAAGTCGATCGATGAAGATACAAAGCATTCGGAGGTGGCACTTGAGGATGCTGAAAAGGCCTGATCAGCCAATCAGTCCCCGCAATGGATTCTTGGAGGCCGTTGCACACGAAGGGAACCATCGATCATCCTTTTCTAAAGACCAGTTGTACCTAGCCTGTTTTCTTTTACAGGTGGTCTCCGAAGGTTTTCCGTACTTTTGATACAATGTTCGAAGTGTTTTTCAATGTTGTATTGGGGTTGTACCGATAACACCATGTCAGTATCACCTTCTCTCACCCGTCGTCTGCGAATTCATAATAGCTTTCAATAGATCGAAAGTTATGAAGTATTTTATCCTGGGTGTGGTTGTAGGACTAACGTTAGAAGTAAATATAGATAGACACAGATGAAACGTCGCACGGAAGTTGGTCGCAGGCAACAAGGTGACAAGACCCACCAGCTCGGGAGTCATTCCCCATTTAAATCGCGTGAACCACGTGCCACAACAGTGTTTGTATTTAATATATTTGTTCCTTGTAGTCTCTGAACAACAATATTCTCGAGGTTAAGAAACTCGCCTATGAAGCTATAGCATGGTCCATATGCCAGCTGATCATCAATATGGCGAGTTGGCAAAAAAAAAAGATAATCGTCAGCTGCAGGGTTCGAACCTACGCGGGCGAACCCATTAGATTATGAGATATTGAGGACATAGTCCAGGCAGTTCAAGTCTAACGCCTTAACCACTCGGCCAAACTGACGGATTGGATGATTTTGACAACGCTACAAGAAATCACATATTCCAAAGTCATGAAATAACCGATGTTCCATTTGCCTAACATTGAATGTACCTAGGTAGGTTGTTCGGCCTTGTAAACGTAGCAAAAGTGAACGGAAGTCTAGAGGGAAAGTACAAAGAATAAAGGTGTTTGCCAAACGGGATAACCTTGAAAAGCAAAGGTTCAAGTTAGTTCATTGCAATCCGATTAGCAAAAAATATATCGAAGGGCGTGTTAGATCAACTCTGTGGATATTACCACATCTGGGAAGGATACTGACCTTGGAAGAATGCGAGTGATAGATCTAGATAGTAAGTACCCTCCACTCATTTGTCGTCGCCCGACCGACCATGAGCCCTATCACGGCTCTGATGGAATAGGGCTTAAGATAAAGAGCAACAGTCAATTCGTCAGCATTGAAACGCATTCTTGAGAAAACTAACTCCTATTGGACCTAAAGGCACGCCAGGCTCGACATCGATAGTATCGCCGCACCGACTTGGTATCACGATCTTTTCCTTTTCCCCGGGATCTTTTGGATGACTTCTCCGTTGCCATCAGTGTACGCCCCACCAACAAAGGCGTTCAATACCGGATGAGCTTGGATCATCCCCCGACACCTACGGTCGATGTACATGTACCTTCGGGGCCTTTGACAGATGTCAACAAAGCTATGGCCTTCAAGTTCTTCCACTAGGGCATTAGCACCGCAGCATGATTGGAAGGACCGCGAAGTGGGATAAACCACAGATGTCTCGTTGCCATTCGTGCGTTTCACTGAAATTCTGAATGCAAGACGAGCGCCGGGGTCTTGTTCTTGGCTTGCAGTGGCCCACAAGTGAGGGTGTCTTTCTCCGATAGGCGAATGAATATCGCCCTTCCGCTCCATGTTCCCAGATCGCCTAGTATTTTTGCCAATTTTTCCCTGCCTCGATCCAACCATTCTACATTTATATAAAGACAGCCACGCAAGCAAGAACATGGTACAAATTTTCAAATCGTCGGAAGTCTGGCCCAAAATAAAGGTTCACTCCAATGTTGGCTCACGGTGAAAAACGGCCAATGCTTGTTTTCGTAGCATTGGCGTTCTCGATCTTTGCAGTGATACCTCTAGCATTCATTTTCGATGGATGCATATCGACGTCCTCTCCCTCTAGTTTCTATTTTATGAAGGTGAGATGTCACTCGAATAAATCGCATGGCTTGGTTTACTGAAAGCTCCAGGTAAACCTAACCGACTTTTATGAAGCTAAAAGCGCTCCATATTCGTCGATCAATCAGTGTCAGTGGAATAAGTAACCCTAATCTAGCTGATGACACAGCCGATATGGCTGGGACCGCTACAAATATCCTTACTAGCAGCGTTGCGTAGGCCACTAGCGCCACGGGGAATGAAGCAAAAGCTATAGAGCGTGCGTAATATTTGACGGAACACTTGAAGACCCACCTTTTACTAGCTATATTGTCGGGCTCCGGAGCTATTACCAGTCAAATCGTGGCTCTACGTCCTCCAACTGCTCTAGGGTTAGCAACTCGTTTTCATTCGATCTATCAAGCCTCCTTAGCCTAGTTTCTAATGAAATTGGTACACTGGTTTCAATCAACCTGAAAAGGGTCCTCAAAGTATATCATGGAATATCGCACTTCTCTACCCTAGCATATATTATGGGAACAACAGATACTGCTATAGCAATCGCATTAGAGGCTATGTGGATGGTTTCTCAATGGAAAAGCATTGTCAGTACTCCTACGACTTCCTGGTGGCTAGGCTAGTAACAAGTTCTCTTTCATCTGTACGTCCGATGATAGCCAAAGTCAAGAGTTGCATATTGATAAAAGCTTAGCTTGCCTTCGTTTTCCTAGTATGCGCTTCCGCCACCATAACGGCAATTCACGAGTCCATTGAATCGGCTATATAGGGTAGTTTGTAAAGTTTAAGAGTGTATACAAGCTTTGGTAGTAGGCCTTTGGTCGCGGCTTGGTTTGTAGTAGTACTCTTCATTTCTACCTCTTTTATAGCGTTATCTTGCTTAAGTGCGCTATTTTCGAGAGCGGAATGAAATTAGAAGATCATAAACCTCTGGAAATAGGAGCATGATGAAAATCGAGGGCCATCAAAAAGTGGTCGCAAAGTGAATAGTATTGTAGGGCAAGGTGCTTATTTAGGCATAGTCTGAGCGTAGACTGAGTGCTCAATAGATGCCCCTGGGCAGCCTCTGAGTAATCAAAGAGATCAACCTTGGAAAGAGCGATCAGTAAGCATCCACTGAGCTATCACGTGACTGGTCTGGGTCTGAGCCAGGACTGAAATCTACTCAGTGAGCCTGACTCTGAGCGCCCTCGTAAAAGCAGCGGCAGCTCAAATAGGAAAGCCCCACCTGGCAGAGGAAATCAAGTACGCATAGCTATCTAGGGATATGCTGTATGAGGCCACATAGTTACCTAGGGGTTTGTAGGGACAAATCAGGAGGCCAGGATTGGCGATCATCCGGTCAGGCCATCCAACCCTACCCCGGATGTCACAGCAGCCGACGCAGGAATGGTCCTCAGGAGCCACTCTTAGGCAACTGATTTGATTCGGATCTACGGGAAATAGTGGGCTGAGAGGGCTTAGAGGGCCTAGATAGCTGTGATGACCATGTAAATGTGTGGCATTGGCTACTCATATCAACATAATGGAGCAAAAGTGCAGTGCAAGATCAAAAAGAACAAGATAAATTATGCCCAGAAACGATCGCTGTAATGAAAAAAAAAAAAAGAAAAAAAAAAAATATCCTTGAATGCGAACGCCGAACAACCATGGAGCTAACCGTCATAAACATAAAAGGGTGAAAAATCATAAATTAGCCGTGGATGGCGACCTCTCGGCTCTCCCACATCCGGCGGATCAGCATGGCGCTGTCATTAATCCGGTATCCTTCCTCATTGTCACCACTCAGGTCACGCGAAGCTTCGGCTGAAGTGGAGAGGATGCGATGAGATGGATCGTTGGACTTGGCAGCCTTTACGGTATTGAGAGGTTCGTTGTCTGTCGCTGGATCTTCAGAGGCGGTGGGGGTTGGATTACGCGAGTGAGATTTAGATGCAGAGCTGAGGCGACTGGGTCCTTTACCTTGCTGCAGAAGGGGCAGCGAAGGTGCTGATTTGACTGGTTTGCCGAGAGCTGATCCGTGCTGCGCTTTATTGCCTCGGACAATATGACGAAGACGAGCGAAGCTCTGGCCGGTGGGAGACTGGAAACGTCGTACGACCATCAGTTCTAGGGATGTTTTCTCATACGCCTTGCGGATATGACGGGTTTCACTGTCATGTCCTGCACCGCCCGTTCGACCGTCGCCATTAAGCCCCCTGCCGGCGTCATACGTGCTGTGGCTAGCGGCAATAAAAGTTGGGTCGATTGTAGACGGCGGAGCTGCTGTGGTCACTCCATGGTTATCAGGAGGGGAGTTATTGAGGGTGGCAGTACGTTGAAGCCAGAGCTTTTGTTGTGTGCGAGAAGGAAGGTCAGCACCACGCGGCCGCGCAGGAGACGCGGCCAATTTAGCCGCTGCGGTGTTCGGAGAAGGTGGCGTCTGTGGGTGGTAATGCGGGAGGAACGACGAGGGGGTATTTGGGTCTGAATCGGTGCGAGAAGATGCCTGCATGCTATTTTTGTTGTTCAAAATGAACCTCGAGACTCCACCTTCCATGGAGGATGAGGTGGCTTGGGGTTGAGAGCCTGGCATGCTGGTCATGCTGGTTGTAGAGAATGTGCGCCGAGCGTTGTCCTGGCCAGCAGCCAGGTTGAGAGATGCGCTACTACGCGATGCGGGATTGAGATTCGTGGCTTCTGGCTTCACCATAGCCGAGATAGAGGACATGGCAGGGGGCGCTTTGGATGAGTGTGTAGGACTTAGGAGGCGGGTTGCTATGTCTCCCTGTTCAGTGTGCTGACTAGACCCGTCGGCTTCTTCGTCCGAGTCCTGCTGTTCAGCTTCCTCGTCCTCATCATTCTCATTCTCATTCTCATTCTCATCTAGTTCAGTACGCTGTCGGACGAACTTGGTGGTAATCGACTCGGGGAGACTGGTCGCTCGAGGCATTTGCGGATATGGTCGCTTGACAAAGGTAAGGTGGTCGACAAGAACGCTGCTATTATCTGCGCTGGGATTGGATGGTGCCACCGAGTTGCGCCTCGTACTTTCGGGTGACTGCGTGGTATCTTCCCACTCAGCTTCGTCGGTTTCTTCATCCCCCAGTTCAAATCCGACCGTCTTTTTCTTTGCCGTGCCAGGGGCCGGCCGCTCAGTCACCAACGCTTTCT